TTTAACTACAAACCAGCATGCAACCTTGCATGAATTATCTTGGGGATTCTGTTCACCGCTACTCACTAAAGCGATCTTTTCTACTCGAAAGGGTACTTCGTGGTTGATTTCAGTATTTCCCGACTTTCTACGCAAACTGCATTGGTTGCATATTTTTGCTGTTGACAAAGACTGTGTACTTCTAGCGCCTTCGTGTAAGGGGAGTGGTCATTCCCCTGATCAACAGTATACTTGCGCAGTCTCATGGATAAAGAGCCTACACGCCGTCACGCCTTGCTAGCGTTCTCACTCCTTGTGCAAATACTTCGCTAAAGCAACTACTCACCGCACTGGTTAGGCCATGCCTGCGTTCATTTCCTGCACCGCGCCGCCAGGTGTTCACTCCGCGACCAGAGCATGACGATCTTGCTTATCGGAAAATCGATGATCCAGGGTCATGCACGAAATCTCGCGTGGCCGGCGTGGTTGACCAGCCGGGGCTGCACGCGCAGGTGCACATGTGTCATCTACCTCTTGCATCAGGGTGCACCTGTGTCATCCAGGGTCGCGTTTGTGTTTCTATCAGCCGCGCTTGACCCAGCAGAGGGGCGTCTGCGTGAGGCCTTGGCGATTGAACTGCACGTGTGCAGGACGAGTTCGGCGGGGCTCATGCCGCGTCATCAACAGGGTCCAACCTCACCATCGTCATCATCAGCCGACTTGACCCGGACAAGCCGCAAGTGCATGGTAGGGAAATAGTCAATGAGCTCAATCCAGCTCAGATCCGGCGCTTAATTTCCTAACTGCGAAGGCAACGATCGGGTGAAGGACCCCAAACATACACGATCAGCCAAAATAGCCTGTCTTACGGGAAAGGTGGTAATAGGGATTTTACGGGAGGGGATTATGTGGGGAATGGCAAAATAAGTATAGATCATTAGTAAATTCGTTTTTCGGGCGGAAAAGTTTTAATGCATTGACATAAAGCAACCGAAATTAGGCATGAAAAATTAAAAAATAAACTAAGTGTCTACAACGATCGCTCCTCAACTCTCTGAGCTGAGGTCATTGTAGATAATACACCAGACTGTCTACAACAGACGACCCAACTTTGTATGATGAAATACGAAACCGAAATAATTGTGCCGAACTAAAACCCACTTAAATAAGTATATTGTGCCACATATGCTTGGAGGCCTTCACCCGATTCTAACCACTGCGAGTAGTTCAAAGCTGTGACTATCGCGATCCGCTTTACGGTCTTGGCTTGGTTTGTCGTCAATTGACGTGTCAAATCACTCTTAACACGGGTCCTATTGAGAGTCAGGTCCCAATGCCTCCTCAATGTGAGTTTTATGTCGCCTATTGCCTATTGGACATTTTTTTCCTTCCAAAATTGTTTTTACGTTACCGTCCTCAGTGATTAGTCTCTGTACACTAAACAATGATTTTGTTGTTTTGCACCGATTTTCTATGCAAATTCAACTTCTGGTAGGCCTCTTATTCGTTATCTGTGTTATGCAACGGCCGGTTGCAGTTGATGAGCTGTCGCGAAATTTGTCGGTACCAATACATTCTGCTGTGTATGTCTGTTTTTAGTTCCTGGAGGATTGCTATGAATTAAAAAGTGGTTCTTTCTGTTACCGTCACGTTTTTTGGCAAAACCTGGATTTTTTTCCGGAGGACGAGGACGAACCGAAGATTCATCTGCGTTTGAGTGCAACTATTTTAACTCCTTGATTAATTTTAGCGCTGCGTCTGCTATAGTAACCACAGGTTCGAACCACCCACCTACCGAAGCTTAGTCATTCCGGGAAAACAGCTAATATAGGAAGCATTTTCGGTTGTATTTTTAGACAACCCCCACCCAGACGCGTGGAAATTACCAGGGCTGGGCCTCTCCACCTGACCGATTTAAGGCCCTCGCTATTGCCTCCTGTTGTCCCGAGAGTAGGTCGCGGTAAGCGCAAAGCTACCAACCACGTTCTTGTGGATGATCCCATCGAGATGACAAGTGCTGACCTCCGGGCCAATTTGAGCGTTGCCAAAGAGCTTCTGTTGCGACGCGCTGATGTCCTTGCTCCCCCGGCAAGTCTCACTCATCCACGACGTCTGCTGTCACTTAGCGTTCCGCGGTTGCTGGCTTTACCTGCCAATTGGGAGACGGCCCTGAGCACG